CGGCTGTGGCAGCTTTGTGGCAGCTTTGTGGCAGCAGGGATTCCCTTGCCTTGAGGGCAGTCCTAAGCTCTCTCTGCCTTACTTCCAGCAGCACAGAGGTGCACTGCTAGCAGGAGTGGTTGCCCTTAAGTTGAGAATATGGCCCAGGGCCTGGGTTGTATTAGTCGGTCTATTGTGTTCAGAGCTTTATAAAAATAATCCAGATCTTCAAAGCTTCTGGGTGATGTCTTCAGCTTCTTTCTCTGGGGAACACTGCCCTGACAATGAGAGACTGCTGTGCTGCAGTGCCTGCTGGAGGAGCCCACGGTGCCTGGGAAGTAGCTCTTCACTTATTCATGTGCCTCTTTGGCCTGCAATCCCCTTAAGCGTGACGAGGTTGATCTGACCAGCATGTGGCTGGCTGGCAGGCAGACTGGAAGCAGTTAACACAGGGGGAATTCTCCCAGGAAACATGAACCAGTTGGTACCGTGTGGGCAGGCCCTGTTAATGCATTAAGCATATGGGAAGCCCACAAAATGCAGATGGGTGGGGGAAGATGAATCTTTAATAGCCCAGGAGAGAAGTAATGGCAGAGACCTTCTTTCAAGAATTCTCTTGCTTCTGTAAACATCAAAAGAAGGGAATCAGTCCAGATATGGCACTAAGGAGCTACAGCTCTTCCCAGTCAGAAGAATGAACATGCAGGTGGAGAGGCAGTAAGAAACAGTCAAGTGGACTAGAAAATTTTGAAACATGCATGTACTCCAGCTCTGCTGTCTTTATCTGTACACCCAGGTCACACAGCCAGAAGAGGTTATCTGTTAAGTCTGTGCAAAGCTACAGCAGAAGCCAAATGTCATGCACACACACACACATGCAAACTGCTGCTTTGGCAGTGAGATTAAAGGCAAGTATATTCATGACTTCTTTATGCTTCTCTCCCCCTTGGCAGATACTGAGCTACAGCTGAGGCGTGATTCCATCTTCTGTCAGTCTCTCGTGGCGGCTATTTGCACCTTTTCAGAGCAGTTACTGGCTGCCCTCAACTATCGATACAACAACAACGGGGAATACGAAGAGAGCAGCAGAGATGCCAGCAGAAAATGGCTGGAACAGATAGCAGCCACTGGTGTTTTACTAAACTACCAGTCTCTTCTCTCCCCCACTGTGGTAAGATGAAGAGTTGTGGCACCCTTGGGGCTGCTCATGCTTGCCTGTGTGCTTCTTTGCCCCTCACAGCACAGCCAGAGCCCTTCATTCTAGCAGCAGGTTTAGACTCACTACCTCTGGAGGTTCCCGCTGCTGACAACCATGTGCCAATATTCCATATCCCATCGTTTTCATCTCCTCACAATACTGGGCCCGCTGTCACACTAGAACACCATAGGAATCGGATTTGGAGGGATGCTGCTGCATTTAACGAGGTTTCACTGCTCAGTTGTTGGTGATGCATGTGTGCCCTGCCATCTTCTGGTGAAAACACATATTTCAACAAATTGGTGAAATTGGACAACGTGAAAATCCAGGCTTTTGTTCACACACTGGACACTTCCATAAAACAGGTAGATTGCAGTCTCTCCCTCGCTTCTGTGGTGCTGGTGTTTGAGGCACCATGTCTAAGGAGGAGAGAAGCTGGTCATCTGCACCTAGTGAACAGATAAGCCACAGCTACAGTAGATAGCTACCGTAACTGTAAAAATGTTAAGAAAAAAGGAGCGTAAAATAGACAAGTAACTCTGACACTATAGAGAAGCGACATTTTTTTGGACTTTGTAAACATTATAGCTTGAGTGTGGGTTTTTTTTAATACAATCCAAACTATATGTGTATGTAACTACTATTTCTTCACATTGCATGGAACGTATGGACATTTATTGCACAGTAACTGATAGGCTGTTCTTCACATTTGTAGGTATAGAGTAAAGTTTGGAGAAAGAGATCCTTTCAACTTATTCAGTCCTTAAAGCTCTCTGTTCTCCGTGAATCACCTCAAATGACACCTACACAAAGGGTAGCTAAACTTGTATCACAAAGTCAAAGAGCCATTAGTAATTACCTTGCTGGGGTGGAGTTAATGGAAAGCTCCACACTCTGCTCTAGCTCTCCTGAACCAAAGCATGCCGTAACAACTATACCCTTCTGGCAGATTATAACCTAGTTATATCCGTTTCTTTACTCTACAGAAGGAGGAGCGCACCATGCTGGAAGACATCCAGGTCACTCTGACTGAACTGGACAAAGTTGCCTTCTATTTCAAGCAACTGGATGAAAGTCTTGTAGCAAGTGAGTCTTCTCTGTTTCTTTGAAGCTCCTTTTTTCTTGTTTGTTTTATGGGTTAATATCCTCCATGATTATAAGTCTAACGGACCATGTCAGACCCAGAGAGCACTGAGCAGCTTCTCTGAAGCACTGGTGCATTCCCTCAGCTTCCACTGCAAATGCACAGCATAAAAAGCAGGGCTGACATCGTGGGATGCTGGTGGCATGTTCTGTGATCTGTAACTGTGGTCTGTGCCAGCGTACCCTACCTATGTGATTTCGCACACGGGGATATATGACAGATGATGAGCAGGTCCTGATAGATGTTTGTAATTCACCCCATTACCCGAGGCAGAAGGACTGTCTCTGCCCAGCTCCTCTGTGTCCTGTGTCCCACCCTGCCAGCTCTCTCTCTCCATGTTTACTGACTATGAGATGCCATGAAACAAGATGGGATTTTAATTATTAACCACATTTAATGTATTAGCATCAAACATCATGCTAGGTCATGCAAACCGTGTATCTTTTTAGGTATTTCAGAGCCTTCATTCTCTCAATAAAGGCTCTCCCTTGTTCATCTAATGATGGAGATGTGAAATGGCATTAGATAATCTAACAACTCAGATAGCAATGGTTTCACATTTCTCCTGCTGTGGTAAAGCAGCAAGTGTTTTATCTTTATTTCTCCAGATACTCATGTCTTCTACCACATCGAAGGAAGTCGTCAGGCCTTGAAGGTTATCTTTTATCTTGACAGCTACTACTTCTCCAAACTGCCTTCTCGGTTTCAGAATGGGGGAAGCTTGAAACTGCACGCGGTGCTCTTTACAAAAGGTGTCTATAAAAAGCTTTCTTGACAAAAATAAACTGATGATGTTGACAGATTCAAAATAAAGAATGACCATGAAGCCCTTAACATAATGCAGCTGAGAACTACAGACATATTTAAGAAGCAGATGTTTCTATTCTAGGAAGACCTGGGGAGTGCTAGATTTTAGACTAAGACACAGTCATAAGACCAAGATATGCCCATTTGGGGCTTTTTTATGCCTTCCTGTAAAGGTCATGGAGACATTATATTGGACTATGCAGACAATCTGACCTAGGATGGTATCAGGAGACAGAGAAGTGTTTTTAAAATCATACGCCATGACCGAATCATCTGGGCTGGAAATCGACTTGATAAGCAAATATTCACACCAAAATACAACGCAGGAGGTTTCCTTCAGGGGGATATTAATGGGGAGTAATTGCCGTTAGAGAGAACTGCTTTCTGTGAAGCCCGCCTTTATGATACAACCACTATATTCCCATACTGGGAAATGCATGAAATTTATGCAGTAACAGAATCAGCCTTGACATGATCCAACAGTCATTTGCTGAGCAGTGAGATGATATAGAGATAAATAAATAAATGAATAAAAAGAGAACTAATAACATAGGTTTAGTAAAATGTTTTCTTCTTCAGCTCTGGAGAGTATGGAGGGGCAATCACAGCCCGCTGGCTCATCTCCAGAAGAACTTCCACAGCAAATTAATGGTATTTCACTTGAAAAAGTACAGCAATACTACCGTAAACTCAGGTATTTCATGCTTCTCCTTTGCCTTAAAAGACATTGAAAAGAGCGCTCCTTGCTAAGGACCTTAAAATTTAATGGAAAAGAGATTCCATTCCTGATGGTTTCTTGTACAAATATGATTTTTGGAGATCCTCATTGTGTGGGAAACTTGTTAATTTTCTTCCCGAGGTTAAGCTTGTTCTGAAGCAGTGCACAGTACAGGATGAAATTCCCATCTAATTTGACTTCAGAATTTTGTGCAGAGCTAAAATCACATAAAAAGGGGGATTTGGAACATTTTAGTACAGACTCTATAGATTACTGCAATCAACAGTTCAATAAGAAAGCAGATTTTGAAGTACAAGATTTTTAGCATAGCCTTCTCAGATGTTTTATACAAGATAATATACATATATGTGCTTGAAATGAGATGCGCCAGCTAATGGAGTCCTTGCTGCCTTTTTGCAGGACGTTTTACCTAGAGAGATCAAACTTGCCCACTGATTCCAATACTACTGCAGTGAAGATTGACCAGGTATTGTTATTGTGTTTCTTTCTGCAATAAATTCTCTCATAGAAATATTATTTCTCTAAAATCCCAGTCGTGGGATACCCATATGGCAGACCTGTGCAAACCCAAACATCATTTAAAAAATGCTCCCTACCCTAAAGAAGTGATCTGAAATTTTCTGAAGCTTGGCTACAGTTCTTTTGTTTAGAAGAAAATGTGCAGAACTGGGGTTGACACGAAAACCTTACCTTAGGCACTAGTAAGGCTCCGTATCGCTCTGACTGCCCCTGCAAATACAGTGTCTGATGTTAGAATGAATTCATTGTCCTCTCCCACAGATGGATGAAAAGGAACAAGCGTTCAATTTCAAGTTACGCTTTGTTCACAGTTACAGAAGAAAACAACAGGAAAATAGTACTTCCCAGCGTCTCATGTAAAGGCAGCCTGTCTAGCTGGGACAGGTGACGTATGTGAACATACGCATGTAACGCATGAAATAGTACTGCAGGGAACAGAAAACGAGAGGCTGTCTTTGCAGTTGTAATATACATTGTAAACAATCTCTGTGATGTGTGGTAATTGCAAAAAATTGCCACAAGCCTAAGTAATTATTTGTATTTTTCCACTTCCAGAGTTCATCTATATTCTAAATAGTGCTACTCTTGTGTAGGTTATTGTGCTTAGACATAGGGTAAAGAATTGTAAACGTCTTTATAACTGAAGGTGTGAGTGTGCCACTGATGCATTTTTTTATTGCTTTGTTTAGCTTATTCGCCCCATTAATGCAATGGATGAGCTTTGCAGGCTGATGAAGTCTTTCATTAATACAAAACCAACCCAGCCAGGATATTCTAGCAGTACCACATCAGGCGCTGGCCTGCTGCCTATATCCTCTGAGCTCTGTTACCGACTGGGAGCCTGTCAGATTACCATGTGCAGCACTGGGATGCAGAGGTGAGTTTTAAGAAACCTGTGCGTTACTGGTGTGATGACAACTTTTGTCCTTTCTAGAGATTTGAGCGATGTATTTGATTCTGTTCAAAGCAATAGAAAGGTAGATCATAAGCGAATATAATACGGACCTAAATCTACTACCATCTTGATTTTAGGGTAGGTCGTGACTTTTAAAACTTTTGTTAAAAATGAGTATTGCCACACAAACTTTTTTATGTTTCAGTGCATCAGCCAGTGCAACTGACTGAGTGATCTCATTGCATATAACATTCAGTCAACGTTGGCTTCAGTCACACCCAGAAAATGTAGGAAGTTGCTCAAAATTGGCTTTAGAATCTTGGTGCATGCAAGCATTGATTCTAAACACACCACTGTTCTTCCAGTGTCTCAAAACCATTGACTAAAGAAGAGATTCATTTGTGAATAACGTTATACGAATCCATGCAGAAGAGCAGCGAAACATAGCCTTGTAGTAGTGATGCTGGAGACTCAAACAATTGCAGTCTCTAGGTGTAACGAGACTGGAAATGCAGGACAGGTAATTTTATAGTTGTGTAAGTAAAAAGCTAAAAAGAGTAAATATAAGAACACGAGCTAACAGAAGTCATACTTAACAGGTAAGTGTCCTGCACATACCTATTTGTACATTTTTAAATATGATCTGCGATTTAATCTCTCTTGTTCCCGTGTTCAGAAGTACATTGAGCGTGTCCCTGGAGCAAGCAGCCATACTGGCTCGAAGTCATGGACTTTTGCCCAAGTGCATCATGCAAGCTACAGACATCATGCGAAAGCAAGTAAGCACTGGGATGTGTGTCTGCTGCGTGCCACCGTTTTCATTCCAGTAACACCATTGTACGAACACCAGTTTATTTCAGCGTGGCGCTGTATTTTGTGCGCTACAAACCCATATAGCCAAACTTCTCTTTATGTCAGAATAGCTACACGTATACGTAACAGGAACAAATTAACTTTTGCATGCATTAGCAATTAAAATACACGCCTTGGTGTACATTATTTAAAGTGTGTGCCTTGATGGTTAGAAAGTAGAGACTAGTCTCTGTCTGTAAATTTCTGTATAAAAAACCAGGTCTCAATCACAGTGTTAAATAGTAGAAATTCCCTAGTGCTCGACAGCAGTGCTTGTAAAGTGCTTTGGGACTAATTCCATCTTTTAAGTAAACACAGATGACTAATGTATCCACACAATGGATTCCAAATCTTCTAAAAGTAGTTAATGGATTCTCAAATAGAAACCATACTGCCATAATAATATTTTCCCCTAAGGATCAGATGCTTTATCAATACTGTCAGTACCATAAATTCTCTGTTTCCTTAGGGACCAAGGGTTGAAATCTCTGCCAAGAACCTGAAAGTGATGGACCAAATGCCACAGTGTGCACCTCGGTAGGTTATTATGTATTATGCATTTTATCTGAGTGCTGGTTTTATATTTCTGTAACAGTTGTGGAGTTCCTGTTATAACCAAAGATCTCCTTAGTAGCAGTAGTGGAAAAAAGAAAAAAATCCTGTTCTTCTTTCTCGCTGTACTAAACTAAGTGCATTGTAGATTAATCAGTTTGCTGCTTACAATTTGCATATCGTCAACGTCAAAGGTTTCTGCATTTTCTGAATAAAACATAACGGATCAGAGAGAAGGGTCTTTTTGGACTGTTGCTGTGAGTTGGCAAAGCTAGTGACTGACAGCCATCTGTGGAATGCTTAGAAAGAAGAATTCCTGAATGGCCGATCTGACTGCAGATACGCAAAGATAATTCATAGGCTAACACTATTCTGTGCTTAGAAGAGCCTGGCTGTTTAGTTACGGCAGAGCAGGTTTAAGAGCAAGCACTTCAAGTCAGAGTAGCCATACAGTAACGCAGCTCTACGGGAGATCGGTCTAGAAGACAACTTAGAAAAGCACTGTACATTTGTGAATCCTACTGCACCTAACGGGAGCTAGAGATGTTCTTCATCTCTCTCTACAGGATAAGAATTTTTTTAAGAAAAGTATCTCTTTCTGGTCAGTCTCCTCCAATTTCATATATCAGAGAGAATATTCTTTAGTAAACTGTAACAGCATTTCCCCACAATGGTAGTAACAAATCATCATGATTTAGATGACCATATATACAGAATCAGTCTGTACAAATATCAGAGAAACTTCTGATTCTACTCTGGTTAATGGCATTGTTCACATGAAGGCAAAACAGTCCTGGCGTGCAGGAATCGGCATCAAGAAAAGATCCGTAAAGTCTGTGCCCTCCCGTCGGTTAAAGCGAGTGTATTGCTAGGGCTGGAGGCCTCCAAAGAGCAGTAGTTCAGTGTCAAGAAGCCTTCCTTAAAACACTGGTATCTTATTCACCCATTAAGACTTCTGAGTTAGTTAAAAAAAAAAAAAAGAGGTGGGGCTTGTTTAGTTTCCTGTCTGCTCCTCAAAATGTTTATAGGAAATTATTTTAAACTTGAGAGACTGTGACACTGCTTGCTGTAACAGTCTGGCCTTGGTTTATTTTCTCAGAGGCCTTAAGAAGAACAATATTTTGCATTTAGAACCGTATCCTTCTGTTGGATTGTAACTGCTATTTCAAAAAGGAATAAAAGAATGGTCTGTGTTGGCTCCTGGACCATGTCCCCAGTGTCATCCATCAGTGTTTTAACAGCATGGTTATTTTGCCTTATTAATGGCCGCACATTACTTTGGTTCCGTTTTTATGGCCATAAAAGCATGCGATGTTCAAAAAGAAACAGCTTTACAAACAAATCATAAGATGAGGCATTTCTCTTCTTTCGTATACACTCTAAATCGCACTGACAAATTCCAGGACTGCTTACTTGGATTATTTCAGGGCAATAAAGCTCAGATACATGCGTTCCTACTGAGCTCCATCATCATAATGTGAAATAAAACTGAGCAAAGTTAAAAGGAGATCTGGTGAATTAACGTTAATTCTCAGGATTATATTTCCTAGCATTGAGGTTTGTCAAACTCTGTAGTAGCAGTCTTGACAGAGCAGTTACAAAACACTTGAGTTTATTCAAATGTAAAGTAGAAAAAGCCAAGAAAAAGCTACCACAACCAGTCATATATGAATGACAGTCAGGATCGCTTAGGTTTAACCACTGGTCTCAATTCGCTCATCTTGTGATTCAAAAAATTTCTCTGAAAACATGGTTACTAATTTTAAAGTTTATTCAACCATGTCAACAAGCAAATACGTTCTTTTATCTGTTTGGTATGCCAGTCTGTATGAGGGGTAAACTCTTTTGTTCAGGAAAAATGCTGAACTGGGTTTGAAACAAAAGAGAGAGAGAGACGGGACTGTTGAAGACCCAACTTGGGCCAAAGGTAAAAAGGAGCGATGGAAAGTCTCAAATAGTATTTAAACAATGATTGTAAATACTTTAGTTAATGAACCACTAGTGGCACTTCTAAATTTGCAATTATTAAAATTGAAAATAGTGGTATTCTTGATACTGGATTACCTCTAAAGCTAGCAGAATGATAAAGAAGTTGACTCTCGTATACTATGCCGTAACTGTATGTTATCATCCTTACGCCATTTAATACCGTACCCTTCATCTGCCTCGAAGGCTCTACAGGTTGTGCCAGCCACCTACAGATGGGGATTTATAAAAGCGAGAGAGGCACCTGCATTGCAGCATCGTTAAAGCATTCAGCGACGAGCAGCCCTGCCTGAGGACCCACGCTGACACTGATGGCGCTGAAGCGAGGGGGGAAGAGAGGTTGCCCTGGTTCAGTAGGAGAAGAACCTGCTGGGCCCAGGCACCGAGAATCTGGCTTTGAACTCCTGCAGCACGTGCAGGGCTTCTCGTGTTTCTCTGACTTCTTGAAGAAATTTTTGAAACAAACACCACAGAGCTAAGAGGGATGTTACTGCCGTTTGCTGGATGCCTGGAAAAGTGACAATTGCATTTGAAGAAAGTGCAGTTTTACTGATGACTTGTTTGTGCTGCCACCTAAAAGTTGTGGCCTTCAAGATATGGGTTGGTTAAGAAAATCCAGACCGAGGCATCTCTCTCTCCCTGTACTGCCTCTGGCATCCGTTTCATTGCCAGCGTAATTTTGGTCAGCGTCCTTGAGCAGTAGCTTCATAAACACCACTTTTTCATGAACTGACCTGCACTTTTGAACAACGAATAGCACAATCTATGGTTTATTCAAATATGAACATAAAGAATTTCTTCTGGAGTAATTTTCCACTTCAGCCCAGTGAGAACAAGTCTCTCTATGCTGCAGAGTATACATTCCATAATACTTCTTAACATTACTTCATTTTACTTACTGTAGCTTTCAGCTTTTTGATTAACTCTTTTTACTAACGCCCTATTCTGTACTCTGGAAATACAGTACTATTTAAGAGAAGAGGTTCGGAGTGAAGGATTTTAAAGGAAACTTTACAAAGGAAAAATACAGTCTTATAACCTGATTATTTGAACAGATGTAGTTTTTAAAACAGGTCAGAAGAACTATACTTATTTATGTGGAGTGGAATATGTGTTTTCGATCATGTTATTATATATACAAGATTTAAATAAAAATTATATTGTTTAAAATGGGACCAATATGCTGGCAATTACACAGCTACTCCCAGTTTACTGAAAAAAAATCTACATTATTTAAAATCTTTCAATATTTAAGTAGTCTTTAATACAGTTATTATGATGTATTAGGGATGCTCTTAAGTTAAAAGAAAAAAGGAATCATGTATATAATGTACTTTATTTTTTCTTGTTTGAAAAATTGTTCTCCATTCTGTCAGTATTATCCTAAGCACAGTAATTTTTTCCAAATTACTGGCTGAAACTAAGCGAAACGTCAGCAGTCTCAGGACAGAAATAATGTTCTTTTGGAGTGAGTGCCTTAATACGACCACCCATCCCTAATGCATTTCACTTGTAGCAGGGGTCAGCAGAAGGCTGCGTAGGAAGCTCACCATGCCGCTGCCTCTGCACAGCCTCGTTGAGAACCGTTCATGGTCAGAAGACCCAGAAGCGCTTTGCAGTGATGTATATTCTAGAAAAATAAAGGTTTGAGGGTTTTATTTGTGATGTTGTTCATTTTTTAGCTGGCTTAATTTTATTTTATTAACATCCGAACCAACTCAAAAACTAAAATTAGACTTTTTCCATTGGGAGATGAAGGTCTCTTTTTAATCTACACTTCAACACAAAATGGCTTACGGCAGGTTTAGGGGTGCAGATTGTTCTGAACCTTGTCTCTTAATTTTCTAATATTTTTTTTTCTTCACTCACAGACTGAAAAAATTTTGGGGAAGGAACGTGTTTTGTTTAATCTCTTAGTTTGAGCTGTTTCCTCTGACCTACAGCAACCTAGCGCAGGGAACTGGGACAACCCATCAATCGCCAGCTGCCGGATACGGGGATTTATTGCTGAGTATCCATTTTGTACTGCAGCCAGATGAGCAGATCGTTATTTCAATGCACTTTTTGTTAATTTTAGAAGAGTTTTTCTTGCTGTTTGAAGAAGAAATGGATGTTTCTTTACTGAATCCTCAACTTAAAATGTACTTAGTATTATAAGAACTGTAGGAACACCCAAAAATAAAAACAAGAGGCCGAGATCCTCGCTTTGTCTCCATCAGCTCTGTTCAGGGAACTGCAGCCATTTACGCAGCGCGTGAGGATCCTGGCCCACACTTACACAGTCACTGTAAACATTAAAGATGCATAGAAAAGTATCTAAGGGCATTTACACTGTGCACTGTTTTACATTGAAATGTATATGTTATTCTCATTGAAAACATGATAGAAGTTTTTATTATTAAAAGTTGGATTATAAGGAAAGAAGGTATGATCTTATTTTTCTGTTATACCCTTTAGTTCCTTAGCTCTAAGTTCTGTTGACCAGTTTAAGTTCTGGTATTTGTGTGGAGCGATGGGGCAGTCGGAAGTTGAAGCTGTAAGGGAAAAGTTGTTTTTGATAGCAGCTCAAATGGGCAGCGTAGAGCTAAGCCCTTCTGTTTGTGTGGCGCCGGCTGCAGATGTGGTTTCACTGCAGACTTCCTATTAAAGTAGAAAAGAAAAACTGCTTTGATGCTGTAAAATTGCAAGGCGTGAATCCAGTGCTGGAAAAAAACGGTTCAAGTGGAAAATAAGAGGGCAATGCACAAGCCAACCTGCAAGTAAAGAGAGTAGATCAGGTCTGTAGAATTTCCATGGCTAAACGCAAAGTAAGAATCAGGCCTGCCACGACCGAGCAAGTGCAGATTTCATAGATCTGGAGCATCTGATACACTGGAAGTGTGGAAAACACAGTCAAGATGGAGAAAATGGCAACTAGCGGCATGACGATGGGCTGCGTAAGCGGCTGGCTAAAGGGAAGAAGGCAACACTGAAAAGAAAGGGGGTGGGCGGCAGCTGCAAGTGGAATTTCTTGTGTATCAGTCTTGTAACTGAACTTGCTTAGCATTTTTATTAACCACTGAAGCACAGACACTGCGGGGCTGGGGTTGATGTTAAGTTAGGAGGCACTAATCAAGAGAAGGATCGGGGTACACAAAAAAAAAACCAAACCCCAACCCGAAAGACTTGGAGCACTGAAGGGGATGAAATGAAGGCAATGAAATTTTACAGTACAAGTATTAGCTCATGCACTTGAAGATTAAACAAAGTATTTTGCTATATTTCTTGTTAATTGATATTAAAAGGCCGTTGGTTACAGAGCTTGTCACCAGGTGACTCAGATGCAATTTGATAGAACCATGAAAGCTCAGCCTGCGCTAGGAGACAAATTTCCAGTCGGGATGGAGAAGTATTCGAGCCACTGTGCAGAGGCCAAGTAATGAAGTGAAACTGCAGGAGCTCGATGTTGGGGGAAGATACTGAAACAGTATCGATAAAGTGGATACAATTCTGCAAGATAAGACCAGGAGAGCTTGATTTATTTAGCCTAAGACGCAAGTATAACTGATGGCTTTATAAGAAGGTAATAATGAGAAAGGTAAAGACAGTTCAATCTAAACATAAATACGGCCACAAGGAGGAAAAGGAGTACAAGCGATCAGGGATGAATATTGGCTGAAAATTGGTCTGGGCCCTAGAAGCTTTTTTTTCCCAATCAGGCTCTGACAAAAAAGAAATAACTTTTAAAGATGAAGCAGTGGTGCCTAGAGCCCGGGAGAGGCTCTGGGAGGGGGCACGGCGGCCCTTCCCCATCCAGGCTTTTCAAATCCAGGCCGTGGCTGCCTGTTAGCATCAGACATTTTCATGTTCCAGTATTCATTTGCAGACTGAAACACTGGGATTTTTTAGATGAGAAAGCACAGATTTAGACAAACATACATCTCGTTTCCATTTAGACTAAAAAACACTGAAAAGAAAAATCCACCTGGGCTCTGGCAAATCTTCTTTCCTCTGCCATATTTTCTTATCAGCAGACAGCGCTAATTTGGGAATATTTTGAGCACTAATTATTTCATGGTTTTAAAGTGATTTGAAGGTAAAGAACACTAAAGCCTAACAATCAGAATTTCAAAGTAAAAATAATTTGAAACACTCCTGCTTCCATAACAGCATATGTAGTAGCTCATCTGTCGGAACACTTGCCGTTATAAATGTCTGACACAGCTTCTAAGCACCTGGTCATTGCTCATTGGTAAAAGGGAAAAAAACCCAAACCCTAACCCAACAAACGGCTCCTGAAACCAGCTTATTCACAAAAGCACATAGCACATAGACTTACCGATAAGATATTAAATTAATCAAATTACCAGTACAATTTCTATCTAAAACTAGTATAAGGCACCTAATTTAACATACCTGGTTTCGTTAGGGAAAAAGAATAAACCCGTATTTATGTGTGAAGTTTCTTCAGACTCCCTTATCTTTAGCAGTTCCTACTCCTTGATTTGAAGAATAGCAGGATTCAGAATATAAGTAAATGTTAGGTGAATAATATTTCACAAATATGGTCTTGCAAGAGGATATTCAATTTGGATTTTAGAGTAGCACCTTTCAATTTCTAAAAGAATTGATAATTCTTTTGTCACACAGTTTGGCACAAGGATAATACTGTTTATTTAAGGTCCTTCTAATTGCCAGCGCCTGATGCACGGTTGCAATCACGTGTGCCAGAAGGAAGATTTGTGGGTGCCTGGACCTCACTCAGTTGAATGGGTTACACCTGTGTATTCTGAAGCCCACGCTGGCCTCAGTGCTGAATTCAAGACGAAGGACCTGATTTTCTTAGAACAAGAGCTTTGCTTTTTGTAGTTAACCTTTCAAAGATGTTTCTAGATGAGCTAAGACCACAAGATGAAAATCACTGCGCTAGTACAATGCCATAGAATAAAGAAAGAACCCATTGAAGAGGACAGAGGACTTTGGAAAGGCCTTTATTTTTGCCCTTTTTACCAAGGGTAGGAATGGCCACACTAGTCTGACCATAGGTTAGGCCAAATTTAAAAGGCTTTTAAAAGTTAATCAGTTATCAGCTATTGGAACTCAAGTAAGAAAGATTGCTATAGCATTACTGCATTTACAGCTCATTTTGCACCTAAGATCAGTTACCTCATCTGGGCAGGGGGGCAATGCTGCAATGACACAAGTTGTATAGCATGTTTTTTTGCATGAAACAGAACTTTTCATGGTTTTAGGAAAATGTTCCAGAGACAATATTTTTATATCAGTTTATAGGACTGGCATTTTTCAAATGTTTTGTAAAAAGAAAAAAATGTACAGAATATTTGAGAGCGTTTCTGTAGTTAAGTTTGAGGGATTCTAGTGTACGGATATTTTTCCTCACGTTTCTGTATTTTTAATTAAGCACGTGTATCCTGCTTTACGATAAAAGTCTTAATATAATTTGTTCAGCTTTTTGTGTTGTATCGTCTAA